TTGGGAACATATGTTTTTAGTTCTCTTGGAGATACTCAGGTGGAATTTCTGGGTCCCGGTAGTTCTGTGCTTAGCTTTTTGAGGAATTTCCAATGTGTTTTTCTATAGGTAGTCTTTTAAACCTTGTGTGTGTGTTGTTTTTAACATGAGACCTACTGGGAGGCAGGATTATATCTTCAGTAGATCTATTTAACTCTTACCGTGGCTTCATATGATCCAAACACACCAGTGGATCCGGCTTTCCATCCAGCAAGTATTCACTGAGCACCTTTGTGTCATTGATGTAATACTGGGAATTGAGCAGTGAGCAGAATAGAGAATGTTCCCATTGTCACAGATCTTACGGTCCAGGCCTGGAGACGGCCCTCACATAAATCATTTCTCAACTGAATATGTAGTAAAACTGAAAGAAAAGTGCCAGAAACTTATGTAGACTTGAGGGTAGTGGGCATCAAGAAAGTCCCCAGAAAGCTGAAGATCTGGAATTTATATAGATACCATCTAGGTGAGGATTGGGGGGATAATGTTTGAATCATGGAAACGTGCCAAGGATTTGAGGCAGGAAAGAGCATGTTGCTTTCGCACAGAGGGCATGAGGAGAGGGCATAGAGAGGGCATAGGGAGGGGGCGTAGGGCATGGGGAGGGCATGGGAAGGGGCATGGAAGGGGACATAGGGCATGGGGAGGGGGCATAGAGAGGGCATAGGGAGGGGGTGTAGGGCATGGGGAGGGCATGGGAAGGGGCATGGAAGGGGACATAGGGCATGGGGAGGGGGCATAAAGAGGGCATGGGGAGGGGGCATAGAGAGGGCATAGGGAGGGGGCATAGGGCATGGGGAGGGCATGGGAAGGGGCGTGGAAGGGGACATGGGGCATGGGGAGGGGGCATAGAGAGGGCATGGGGAGGGGATATAGGGAGGGGGCATAGGGCATGGGGAGGGAATGGGAAGGGGCATGGAAGGGGACATAGGGCATGGGGAGGGGGCATAGAGAGGGCATGGGGAGGGGACATAGGGAGGGGGCATAGGGCATGGGGAGGTGGCATGGGAGGGGACATAGGGCATGGGGAGGGGGCATGGAAGGGGACATAGGGCATGGGGAGGGGGCATAGGGCATAGGGAGGGCATAGGGAGGGGACATAGAGAGGCATGGAGAGGGGGCATAGAGAGGGCATGGGGAGGGGGCATGGAAGGGGACATAGGGCATGGGGAGGTGGCATGGGAGGGGACATAGGACATGGGGAGGGGGCATGGAAGGGGACATAGGGCATGGGGAGGGGGCATAGGGCATAGGGAGGGCATAGGGAGGGGACATAGAGAGGCATGGAGAGGGGGCATAGAGAGGGCATAGGGAGGGGGCATAGAGTAGGCATAGGGAGGGCATGGGGAGGGGGCATGGGGAGTAGTCAGGCACTGCTAATCAAAGGCCTTCTAGACATTCGAACTTATTTTATGAGCCAGGAGGAGCCAGTTGAAGAGTTTTGAGCAAGGGGTGACCTAATCTCATATATGTGTATATTTATATATGGGTAAGGATATATGGATTCATGCACAATAATCCATAGTTGTGCGTATAAGTAAGATCACTATATATAATCACTGTAGCTGTGCTGTAGAAACTAAATTTGAAAGAGATCAAGAGGGAATGTGGGAAACTAGTGTTCGGGCCAGCTGGAACATGATGGTGGTTTGAGGTAGGGGTGCTGGTGTTGGTGATGGTGGAGGACATATTATTTGGTGGAATTTGAAATGCTTAGGGCATAAAATCTACAGGACATTTTTAGCTCTAAGAATTATTCCTGATTTTTAAAGAGTAGTTTTTGGATACGAGCAGAAGAGTTTTAAAAATGAGAGGAACGGTGAGGCACAGGAGTGTAATAAAATCACCCCAAATCATAACAGGGCTTGGTTAACGAGAAGAATTTAAGTGTCTTAGGAAGTATTGCTACAAAAACAACAAGGAGAAAACCCCACCCAAATGAATAAATGAGTTTAACAAAATTTTAAGATGGCAAGGCCATTGTAGGAAAGTTTAATTCAGTTTCTGTATACTACCAGGGACCAGTGGAGAATGGAGTAAAAACAGCATTTACAATATAAGAAAAAGGTATCAACTATCAGTGAATAAATCTAATGAAAGACCCATGCACTGTAAACTACAAAAACATATCAGATAGAAATGAATGAAGATGCAAATAAATGTAGAGATATGACTTGTCCATGAATTAAAAGGCTTATCCCAGATCAAAATCCCAGGAATCCCCAAGTCCCCCAAAATTAATGATTTGATTCTAAAATGTATATGGAAATGCAAAGAGCTTAGAATAGCCAAACAGTATTTAAAAAGAATAAAATAGAGGACTTACCTAATTTCAAAACTTACGCAAAGATTACAGTAATCAAGATGGTGCATATTGATGCGAAGATACGCAAATTGATCAAAGACATGAATACAGAGTCTAGAAGTGTCTGTACTGTAGCACCGTGTTAGTTTAATTGGGAAAAAAAGGTTGCTTTTTTTTTTTAATTTTCCCTTTAAGGAGAGATACATGTATTTTTTCCCCTCACATCTTTATTTAAAGTCCAGTTAGTTAACATACGTGTAATATCAGTTTCAGGTGTAGAATCTAGTGACTCCTCACTTACCCTGGACCGAGCGGCAGGTGCGTACAGTGCGCACATGGTGACAGGTGGACATGTGCCTCTGGACGTGGGGGGATGCGCTGTGAGGAGCGACGGGAACCCTTATGGGGTTTCCTGGCTTGTTAGAGGTGGCGGATTCGCTTTCACGGGACGGTCGCTTGCAGCGACGCTCTGGCCACGTCGGTGAGCCACGGAAGACCTTGCGGGCGAGAGCGCTGGCCCTGGCGACAGGTGGCAAGTGGCCGCCTGTTCCGCTCCCCAGGGGAGCCCAAGCCTTTGTTTTCATGCCAGATCTTGGCTGTACAAAGGTTGGACACTGATTTAAAAAAAAAAAAAAAAAAAAACCCTAAGTATCGCTGGGGCACCCGGGGGCTCAGCAGTGCATCTCCTGTCTCGGCCCAGGCCATGACCCTGGGTCCCGGGATCAAGTCCTGCGGGGAGCCTGCGTCTCCCTCTGCCTGTGTCTCTGCCTCTCTCTGGGTCACTCATGAATAAATAAATAAAATCTTAGAACACAACAACCCGAAGCATCGCAGTCGGGGGAGGAAGGATTAACCTGAGACCGCATCGGAAGAAAGCTGGCGGCAGTGAAGGGCTCCGGCTCTTGCTGAGCCGCACTGTCCTGGCTCCAGGTCCTGCACGGTGTAGCCCGACTCGGGCGTCGGCGCTGCGACGTTGACCGGGCACCTGCCGCTGCCCCCCGAGCCTGCTCTGCAGGAGCCCCGGGCAAGCCGGCCGCCGGCGGGGCGCTCGCCTTCACTCTCAGCGAGGCCCACTTTGAGGAAGACGCTGCTCAGCAGATGACCCAGCCCTGGGCTGCTTCCTCTTTCCGCACGTCCCGGCCCTCTCCTGCTCCCGGAGCAACAACAAGGGCAGGTGTACTCCTGGGGTCAGATTGGTGAACCCCGCAGGCCTTAGGGTTCGGGTAGGAGACGACGGATGGCTTCCAGACACCTGCAGCTGCGATCCTCAACCTGTAAAGATCGGAGCTTGAACTAGTGCAGCTCTAGATGCTGTACTGGAAATACTTTCCTGTTAGTGCTTCAGCTTGGAATTATTATTTTTTTAACCTAATGAAGCTGATTCCCTGAAGCGCACCGCAGGATGTTCATTAGTGCACTTTGCTCATTTGGTTGACAAGCATCGCAGTGTCTTCTGCGGTGGGAGGTTTTATGGAGAGATGAATAAGGCACAGCACTGTGCTCAGGGAATTTGGAAACACAAAGAAGATTGCATTCATGTTAAAATAATGTATGCTGTGATACCGCAAGGCCAGTTGGTGCAAAATTAATGTTAGATTTGCTATTTAGTATTTTGGAGATTATTATTATGATGATGATTTACTTGAGGGTTCAGGCTTCACGTTTTCTGATATCAAAAAAAAAAAACGAATCTGATGTTTTACACCTATAAATTAGTCATCCTGCAAAGATTTACTGAGTCGCTGCTTGGTGCCAGGGACCGTGCTGTTTCCAGGGAATATTGTGTTAAACGGAGCAAATACTAGCTTTGCCCTCATGAAATTTGCTGTCAGGACAATTTGTCAACCAACATCGACTTACTCCTTTTCTTAAGTACTAAGTGCTGTGCTTTCTACCTCATGTTATTGCTTATATTGGTTTTTCTTTTTTCTTTTTTTCTTTTTTTTATCTTTTAGTATCTAGTGGTGTATTCAGTATTATGCCCCAGACAACTGGTAGGGAAGGAAAAAAGGTGTACCGAGCAACTCTTCAGCTGTGACACAGAAATACAGCACCAGTCAAAGACCCCTCTAGAATAATTTAATAATAGGTTCTTTCATTTCTTCTTGGTAAACCAAATATGGAAACTTCTGCATTTTGTACTGTTCTGAAACTAAAGGTTGCAGATTCTTTATCTGTGTATGAGTTCAATTCTTACCAGCCAATTTGAAATCTATTTCTCCTGTGATTGTAGGAGAATCTTTTTCTTTTCTTTTTTTCTTTTTTTTTTTTTTTTTTTTAACATTGCTACTATTAGGGCTTCTGAGATGTTTTTTGAACTTGTCACTCCCTTTCACATCATTTTTATGGCTTTCTCCTCCTCCAGCCATGGCCTGTAATTCTTCTGTGTAGTGAAGAAAGCCTTTGTAGCGCCAATGAGATGACCCTCTGCTAGTAATGTAATAATTTATTGTGGGATCCAAAATGTGCATTGGTCATCTCTAATTCTTTGTATAATTTCATACATCTTTGCTGTCATAATTAATTTTTAGACCTGTAAAAATTGCTGCTACTCAGTGTTTTTGAGGCTATCCATTTAAAATGATTGTTTCTTCAGAAGCAGGCTTTTGGTAAGTAGTAAAAATGTTGTTTAAAATGTCACCTTTTTTCTTTCCAGTTTTGAGAAATGGTGCTTGGGAAATTGTGCACTGGGAAAAGGTATGCATTGATTTTTCTTTTGTTCCAGAAGGGCATAGATATGCACTCTAGTAGATGTAATTTTTGTATATAATATAAACAAATGTCAAGAATTCTAATATGAAAGCTATTTAGTAATTAATGTTGTAAACATACATGGAGACTTCAGTTATTCACTTCCATTTAATAGTTCTGCATTATACCAGAAAGACTTGAAAAGTAGTATTTAGAACTCTTTGTTTTTTCATAGTATATTTTGAGTACTGTTTTCATAGATTTCATTTAACCATGGACTGTTTTCTGTTGAAACTTTTTACTTTAATCATCTACTGTCCAAGTAAAAATAAAAATTCGGAATTCTGATATTTCTTTTGCAAATTGGATTTCAAATTCATATATTATGACTACACTGCTAATTCCTTAAAAAAAAAAGCCTACTAACTAAACATCATTTTCTAATGAGCTGGAAGTCAGTTTCGTAATATCAAGAGGTTAATAGGCTCACAGGACACGTAACGTGACACTCAGTGAGCCGAGTCATAATTTAACAAGTGTTATCTAAGTGCTTTTCAGACCTCAGTTTCAAAAGGTAAGCAGTTGGTACCAGTTCTCCCTCAGTCCTGGAAGACTGTGACCTCTGGTCATTCACACCTGAATATTTGTGACTTGGTGAGACTTTGGGAGACAAGGCCACTCTACCCAAGGGGTTTTGTTTTCGGAGATTGCCAGGAACAGCGGAGGTGTGGCGCAGTCAGCGTACCTCCCTCCAGGATTTCCTCGCAGGTTAAAGGCCATGCCCCTAATTCAGCCCTGAGATGTCCATAGTTACCTTGGGTCCCTGCAGGCGTAGGATTCCCTCTCGGGTAATTGCATTTTTGTTGATTTTAAATCAGTGGCCGAAACAAGAGATTGACATCTCCTTTTCTAGATGTTTGGAAACTCACTACTCTCTCTCTCTCTCTGGTCTTGGACATAAAAGTAACAAAGAGGAAAATACCTCGAGCGTGCTCTCTTTATTTCCGTGACAGTCACCTCTCAGAGAAGCAAGCTAAAAAATGAGAATGCTCAAAGAACTGTTCCAAAAGAAATTTCTTCACTTACTGGATTTGTCAGGGTGATTAGCACAAACACATATCCTAATAAACTGATAATAGCGATTTCTTACCATCTTACCCAGAGTGCTTGTTCAAAAAATAAGCAGTCATAAAGTCAGGAGATAAGGATCCACAACTTCACTCTGAAGGTAACCTGTTAGAGTGGCTTATTTTCCTAATGTCATATACATATTTTATGAGTGGCTTACTGTAACTTTATTTCATTATTTCAAGATTGAGGGGATTACTGTAACTTTTCCAATTTTTCACAGACAAAAAGTTACCAGCTCGTGATTACTCCTAATGCTGGCGGGTTTCGTTGTCTAGGAGATGAGGCCGCACCTTACCTGCGCATCCCACTTTGAGAGACTTTGGGGATAAAAATGAAAGTGTTGACAAAAGTCACCCGGCCAAAAAGAGCTGATGTTACTTAATAATGTGAATTAGATACTTAGAATTAATACTAGATGCTAGAATTAATAATTAGATACTAAACTTAATAAAAATTGGTTCAATGATGAATTTAAGATAAATATTCAAAAATTAACAGCATTCTTTTATCAAATTAGAAAAATACAGTGAAAGGTCTCATTCCTTGTGGCATGTGAGATACTTATAAATGAATTTAAAATATGTATATGACCTTCGTAAAGAAAACATCAAAACTTTAGGTGTTCAAAATTCACAAAAAATGGCAAATATGTCATATTCCTAGAAACTAAAAATACCAGTTGTTCCAAAGTATTGATATAATCCCAGGAAAATTATTATTTTTTCCTCAAAGTTGACTAAATTTTTCATCCTAATTTCAAAAATAAACAGTTGAGAAGATAGAATATTTTGGTAAACAGTTGAGAAAATAGAATATTTTGGGAAAATGGACGGTGTGCAAGGATGCATAAAATGGAGAGCAAAAGTCATTAAAATTGGTGTGGATCTGTTGCAAAAGTAGGCATCGACAGAGAGAGTAAAAATAGAAAGGAAGAAAAGGGGCTAGGGCGCCCTGAAATAAAGCTCATTTAATGTGTGGTAAAAGAGAGAAAATCATTAATAAAGGAATTATTTAATAAGCAATGTTAGGATGACAGATTTGCAGTTCCAAGAAATAGTGCAGTTGATAAAGTCACATCCCATGCTAAAATAAATTCCGACTGGCTTAAAGTCAAATGTTAAAACATTGGTTTTGAAAAACCTACAAATATAATAAAGACTTTAATAACTATTTGGAGGAGAGCAAGATTTCAAGCTCTCTGGAATTTGATCATATAAAATTTAAGAGAATTACAGAACAAAAACTATCACAAATAAGTAGGCACCATATGGAAGATCATAGTTGTACCAAATATGACAAAAGATCGAAAATGTTATATAAATAGGAAATAAAAGTTGGGAGTAAGCAAGGAGATATAAAATAAGCAACCAGACTCAGTATAACCTAGTAATGAAGGTGGCAGATTTAAACCGTAGTGACGTCTCATTTGCCATACTTTACTTCCACATCAGAATTTTTGTTTTTATGGACTATTTCATTCATGTACTGTCATGGATTAGCAGTTTGGGTCTTCATGTTGAGAACCATAAAAGGGGGATTCTGGGAATTTATCCCAAGAAAATAATCATGAGGTAGGGGGAAAATATTTGCACATGTATTAAAATGTTTACTATGACATTATTCATGGTAATGAAAAGTTAGACTATGTGGATATCCAACAACAGGCAAAGCATTTTTTTAAATTATGGCATTCTCCATTCTGGCACATTTTGTGATGTATGAAAGCTGTGATTTCAAATACTGCGGCATCACAGAGAAATTCTATACCATTCATTCAGCAAATATTTATGGAGTGCGTGTGCCAAGCACTGAGCTCACTGCAGCAAGCAAGACCTACGAAGGCTCCTGTGTCACAAAGTCTACACATAGGTGGAAAGAACAGAGCCCTGTTCACCTAGACCTCAGCCAAGTACACCTGGGTTTCTGGAACGCTGAACGGGCAGGCGTGAAAGCAGGCTTGCCTGTTGGGTTCGCCAGATTGTGGGGCAAGTTTTTTCTTTAGCCTTTGTTGTCTTTTGTGCAATCCGAAATAAGATTGATAAACGGAAACCAAAAGTCTGATCCTCATGCCAAGGTAATATGATCAACCTTAGTGCAAGTGGGCCTTCGTTCAGGGCCCGCCTTCTTTGTTTTCCTGAATGTGCGGCTACTGCGGCTGCCTTTTAATGGTCCTCAGAGGACCTACAAATTTGCACAGCCGACATCCAGTTATTCACAGACGGGCAGACTTCAGCTCTCAGATATAATAGCTCATCCCTCCGGTGTTGCCCGGAAGCCTTTGCTCTGTTGGTTAAGGTTAAATTGCCAGTGTCTGGTTTTCAAAGAAAGTACCATGATTGCAAAGCCCCATACGAGGCACTGCATCTCTACTCTTGACATGTGAGCTACTGTCTTCACTGCCCTTACCACAAAGTCCGATTCTTCAAATTGAGATGCAGCTCAGACTGTTCCCAGGCTTTGGAGATAGTAGCAGGTGGAGAACTTAGGAGGAATCTTAGACTCCACCCAATGTTGTTGGCTTTATAGAGAAGCCTAGTAGAGTGGCGGGCTCTGTGCAGGTGTACCAGTCAGTCGCTCTCTAACGTCGCTTTAATGCATGAAATTTCCACCATGAAATGTATTTCTTTGGATTAAGAATTTATATCTTCAAAAATTCCTTATTAAAATGTAAATATGTCAGGGCCTACAACTGGACAAAGATTTTTAAATCAGCCTATCATACTTTGATAATCCTCAGTTGTAGGTACTAGTGTCAGTGAAGGCTCAAGGTAGAAGCCTAAAGCCCTAAATAGTTCCTTAATGCCAATATTTGGGTAACTAAAACTCCTCTGTAGTGATGTTCCTAAAATGAGAACATGTGGTCGAGGAGTTCTTGCCATCTTGATCTTCTCTTCTGTTACTCTTACGTACAAACCAGGCTGGAAGGGGTGAATGCCACATGAGGAGCTCAGAACCAAAAAAAGAAAGAGAGGTGCTTGGATATATTTCAGAAGTGATCTAAAACATGTGAATCCTATGCAGGGAGTGAGTAGGTTCCCTGCTCTCCTCCTACCACTGCAAGAACTACCTTAGCTCTCAGTGAGCCCTTGGTTTTCCCAGGCCATTGAAACAAGTAGGTGATACTTTCTAAGGTGCTAATAGTTGTTTTAGTCTTCAGTTTAATGACTGCAGGCCTTGCTTTTGTCTTAACAATGAATAAAGATGTGGGAAAGCAGTAGGATCCATTTAGGGATTTTTTTTTAAGTCTAACTATTCAACTCTGACGCTATCAATGTAGACAAATATTTCAATTTTCCGAAGTTTCTAGTCTAATTGGAGAACAAACATTAACACACAAGAGAAGATGAAAGAACATTTAAATGGTAGCCTGGGTCGCACTCTCTAAATGCCCCAGTGGCCTTACGCTTCTTGATCTTGGGTGCTGTCAGAGGAATGTGACAACACGTGAAGGGGCCACATCACACCTATACTTGCTGTGTTGGCTGGTTGTTTTTTAATTTTCCAATTTGCCCTTTTTTGAGGAGGGGATGTTTGATGCCAAGGTCCCTAGAAATTTGTCAATTTCAAACCATCGAGATTTCAGCTAGCATCTCTTTTGAATCAGAGCTTCCCTACCTGGGTAACCAGCATAAATACCATAAATTAGAAGGCCCCCCTCCAACCTTCCCTAATGGTTCCTCCCCCAGGTGTATAAAGCAGACTACAGTGGGCTGTCTCTGAAATAATTTTTTTTTTTGTTATGATTCCCACTGAAGACACCAGTGCTCTCCTTCCTCCCAATAAAATGTTATGTTAGGGTTCGGGGAAAAGTAGGAAGAGGAAAGAATAAAAAGACTCTAACAACAAAGAAGCCTTCTTTCGATTAAGGATTGAAATGGATTCATAGGTTTATCTGGCTACTAAGAATGAGGGCACTTTCCTGATTTAATGGGAGTGGTTATCAGTGTAATTTGGTCAAGTCCTTACTTAGTTGGGGTTATATCATTTGCTAAAAGTTCTGTGACAATCCTGTCACCTGAATCCCTTCTAAAGGGTTTCTGGCCTTATCATATCTTTAATTTGTTTTTAGGCCTTGCTCACAAAAATGCTACCGGGTAGTAAAACCAGGAAAAGGTTAAGCTCTTTTGGCTTTTTTTTTTTTTTTTTAATATAAGGGGTCATTTTAGTATATTTACTTATGCAAAATCAGGCTTTGCAGAAAGTTAGGTAGAGGTTTGAGTGTAAGTAAGCTCTTCCTCCTACCATGATCTTAGGCAAATAAATTAGAAGCTGAGAATCATTTCTTCCTCTCTAAATTGTGAATTATTATATATCACACCTATTTCATACAGTCATTGTGAGGAGTATTGATCAAATGTATAAAAGTTGTTTTTTCCAGCTGCATTGAGATTTCCTTAAACAAGGAAAAAATCTCATTGGGTAAATTCCTCCTTTTTATTTTTATGTCACAGAGAGAGAATATGAGAAGTTGAGATGTCCATTAAGTGGATAAAATGGATGAATTTATTAAGTCCTATAGTTTATAAAAACAAAGATACAGTGTTCATATTTTAAAGGACTGCCCCATCCTTGGCCTCACTCCTAGATAATTTTATGCCATGTTGTGAAGATAAGTGGTTCTTGTTTGCCAGTGACCATTTTTTACTGTATTCTATGCTTAAATACAGTGGGTTGTATATTTGTAACTATATTTCAATGCAGATAATTAACCGATTCCCAGTTTTCTTTCAGGTAAATGTTGGAGATATAGTTATAATAAAAGGCAAAGAGTATATACCTGCTGACACTGTACTTCTCTCATCAAGGTAGAGATACCTACTGATGCTCAAACAGTGTAGAGGATGGTTTCTCTACCCTGCATTGACCTTGTGATTTCTCCAAGGAAATAAGGAATAAACGAAGAATTTTAAACCTCTCTAATGATTTTGAATTAAACATTAAAAAAATATGATTGGACTTAATGGACTCTTTCATGCTTGCCATGTAGAATAAGTGATAGGTACTATACCGTGTAATTCAAAAACTATAATTACAGTTAGGAGTCTACTCTCTCCCTCTGGATATGTCCAGATCATTTTCTGTGGACCACTAACTCCTAAGATTTCCTGTCATTTATTTTATATAATACATGGATTGAGTTCTATTGATTTTACCTTGCAATCCTTGTTCATGATAAATTCCTTTATGATGCATTCGTATATCCCTCCAAAGTTCCTTGATCTTTATGGTGCATTAGTACAAGAGAATGGATGAATGATTTTTTTTTTGTCGTCATACCTTTTGAAATGCCATACTCTTCCAACAAAAAATTTAATTGCTCTCTTAAGTTCTTTCTAAGACTGAATTTTAGATAATTTTTGTTTTATTCATATTTAAGATAGTCATGAATTAGTATTCAGAACATATGGCACTGTTACCCTTTAAAGAATGTGATTTTCAAATGGTTTGGGGTTTAAAAACTGTAAAACTAGTCCTAATATAAATTAAGAAAAATGTTTTTTAAGATCTTAGAGGTTGTTTATCATCATTTCCTTGGACAGTTTTATTTGTAAAATCCACATATAATTATGGACAGTGTCCTTTTTTCAAAATCTGTTTAATCAGGTCGTTATTTAAAGTGATTGGATATGTAACAAGTTAGTGAAACTTAACGGAGCAAATAAGAGTTATCCAGATATTTATAGAAGTAAGCCTGTGGGTAGTTGAGTAACTGTGGGTAGCTTTGCTTTCATATTTTATAGTTGGGAGCTTTTTGTGTCACTTACCTATAGGTGTTGTTTTCAGAAAAATTAAAATTAATATGTTTTTAAATCAACCTTTCTGTTACTAGTTTTCTTTGCTTACAGCTTTGATCAGGGTAAGTTCAAAAACTGAAGTAGACATACTGGTCCACACGTGGCTGGGTGAGAACAAGTTTAACAGTGAACTTACTGTCATTGTCTCACATCAGATACTAGAGAAAGCTTTGCTCAGGAGAAGACATTAAACCAGGGTTCTTACCCATCCTGGTGTCATGATTTTGAACAAAATAGTAACCTCTCAGGCCTTGATTTCACATCTTTTAAAGTGAGGAAGGTGGAATAAATGACCAAACTCTAGTATTTTCTGATTCTCTTTTTTATTTAAATTCAGTAATCTTTTATTTAAGTTTTAAGAATGTCTAGCCAGCAGACCGATGTGCACTTACTTGGTGGTACTCAGTAAAAGTTTGATAAGTGTAGCAGATGACTGACCATCTGAATGTCATCTGATGAAGTTCAAAATGATAGTAAAGCATTCTAGCAATTTAAGAAAGTAATGATGTTTTCCTGATTAATCTTATCATAGAGACCTAATTTATCATAGAGAGTATCATATATGCGAACCATGAATTACACTATTTATTTTTTATATGCTCAAAAGTGTGAAGACAGTTGATTATATTGCCCTGACTTTATACTTAATTATGGATGGAAAGTTTTAAAAATATTTTTCATCTGTCTCTGTCCAACCTCAAGGTCTGCCAGAAAGCTTGATGCTCAAATTTCTTAAAGTTTAGAGCACTTTTCCAGGAGTTCTCAACATTAAAAAGATTCAGTGGTGACTTTTAGATAGTTGTAGTGTAGCTATACATATGGTCGATCAAAACAGTGTCTACATCTTTTTCTTTTTCAAGGTTTTATTTTTAAATAATCTCTACATCCAGTGTGAGGCTCAAATTCACAATCCAGAGATCAAGAGTCACACACCATCCACTGAGCCAGCTGGGTGCCCCAGTAGTTTCTGTATCTTAATATAGCATCCACAGAGATGAACTGGCTCCAAAGATGATTATTTTTAAAGACATTATCTGATTTCATTGCATTTAACTACTTAGTAGAATTCAAAGTAAAGTATACAGTTTCTACAGTTACATATTTCTATCCCAGTGGCAAAATACCACTTTTCAGGGTGGTTTTCCCCGCCCCCCTCAAAAAGTTTTGCCTTACTCTTGTGAACCTACATTAGCCTTAAGAAATAGAGGTAGAAGTTTTGGGATGCTTCGGTGGCTCAGTCGGTTAAGTGTCCAAGATCTCAGCTCAGATCTTAGGGTTGTGATTTTGAACCCCATGTTGGGCCCCATGCTGGGCATGGAGCCTACTTAACAAAAACAAACAGACAAACAAAAAAGAAATAGGAGTTTTTGTCATTATTTAACAGAAAGCAGAATCTTGACTTTAAGTCAAGATTGACTTTATTTTTTGCCATTTAACTTGAGCTAACGCTAGGTCAGCGTTGAGATCCTTAAGCCCTCATCTAATACCTTCAGTATGCCACACTGTCAAAATAAGGACATGGTGACTTTTGACTGTAGGTGAGCACCTTTAACAGTAAGCATAAACAACAGTTTATAATATTTTAATTTCCAAATATTTTTCTATTATTAATTACTAAGAGTGCACCCTCTTTGAAGTAGTCTGAAATTAAAGCATGAACATTATTGAAAGTTAGTGTCTGATTGGTTATCACTTTGACGTGAAGAAACTGAGGTTTTAGCGTATGACAAACAAATACATATATGAGTTGAGAAAGAATAAAATAGAGCTAAATGTCTCAGGTTGTTAATCCGAGTCCACACAGGTTCCTGGAACGCCTGTTTCACACCCTCTGAGAAAGTTTCCCTGAGTTCAAAGCCTTACCCTTTGAAGACCAGGCATCACCAGGTCACCAAGACTTTTGTTAATTATTGAACAACTCAAAAGGCTGCAATTATGCCTTCTAACATCTTAAGATCCGTATCCTTATAGCTTTGCATTAAAGTTAATGATATGTATGCAATTAACTTTGAAAATATTTTGGAATCAGAAAGTTTCTAATACTTTTTTTTTTCTTGTATTGGGCGGGGGGGGGGGGCAACCAGAGGACTAGTATAGTATGCTTGGTTTTTCAAAAGCCTAAAACATGGTTTCCATGATTCTTTCCTTCTTGGCTGCGAGTAAACAGACAGTAGATGGCATGAGAGTGAGGAATTGGAGAAAGGAAAATTTATCAGAGAAGTAGCTCTTTAAAATTGTTTTTATTTGATAAGAGAGTCTTGTGACAAATCAAAAGTTTCCATGTTAAAAATTGAAAATTGGACTTAAAAGCAAATAATCCTTCACATTTTCTTGTGCCTTTAGACCTGATCAAAATAAATTTTGAAAAAATTGGCATTAGACATTTTTATTAACACGTATTATTTTCTATAATAATTTCAAACTTTGTCTCTTTTGTCCATTTGTTTGGTTTTTTCTTTTTTCTGTTTTTCATTTTTTTTCCGTTTTAATTATTTTAAACTGGGACCTGTAGGTGGCAGTAGGGGAAATAGTGAAAGTGACCAATGGGGAACATCTCCCAGCAGATCTCATCAGCCTGTCCTCAAGGTTAGAACCACTGAGTCGTACAGGATGTGTGTATGTGGATCCTCACCCTACAACAGAGAACAATTATACCCAAAGATGGTTGAGTTCAACATCTCTTCCTTTAAAACACAAAAATTTTTATACTTCTTGGAGATAGACATTTTACTGATGTTTTAAAGGCCTTTTATGAATACAGTGTTGGATGCTGTTTGTCCCTCAAGTGGGCAGATTCAGCTCCTATTGTTATCAATAGGAGTCTGTGAGGCATGACTGTAAAGGCAGATTTTAATTTCCTCTACATCATTAACATATATTCGTATTGACCAACATGCCTAAGTACGAAGGTGGAATCCAATACCTCTCCAGGATGCTCTTTTGAATGAACAGTGTGAAGCTTTTCATGAAATGAAGTAATTGAGGAATTTCGTCTTATTCATATATTCAAAATTTTCTATAAGTTCTGCAGAATCGCTTCAGCAATTATGACTCTAATTTGGGTTTATATAGGGTTTACAGAGGACCCCCTGCACCAAGCTGGATGTTGTACATTTTGTACCGCATGCTTTGGAATCAGTTTTTATCCCACTTATAACTTGTGACAAAGTGCATGTTACTGTAATAAAGTTCAGCTGTCCACTAGTGTCTGTATTGTGATGTGCATCTTGTTTCATTTTTCCACTTACTAATCAAAACGCCTGCTTTGCCTCTCTGTGGTTTGCATTTTGGATGTCAACGTAATTTGCTGAAATATTTATTATCCAGCATGATTCCCCATGTAAGACTTCTTGCTGCTTTTTCGTGCACTATTAAGCACTGCTTCAGTAACAGCTGTCTTAAGGGATTGAGAATGTTCTGAATTTGGATGCCTTTTATTTGCCCTGCTTCAAATAGAAGTCAGCCATTTGACTTTTTAACTTCCCAGCCATTTAAAGTCCTAGAAAAATTGCTTTGTTGAATAAGAAAAACCAGAATGTTATTCTTATTTTAATGTGAGAATAGCCTTGGATATATTGATCAATAATATTTTAATGCATTTTACTGCCAAAATACAGAATCCACATCATTCAGTTAGCATTTGCTTCTCATTGTGCTTCTATATTCAGAAGATATGTTTTATAATTTCATAAACCATTTATGTTTCAAAGGTATACATAACTTACAAATTAGCAGCAGTTACCAGAGCCAAATTACTACTGTGACAGTAATAAAAAGCCAAATGTTGAATGAGTGATAGCGTGAAAATATAAATATCGAAAAAATTCTCCAATTGGAATAAAAGCATCAGCCTTTATGGGAGGGAAAACAGAAAATCCATACAGTAAACTGAAGAACTTGCAAAGTTACTTTAAAAAAGAATCTGTAAAAAAATTAAAAAATAAGAAAATAAAAAGAATCTGTAAAATATTTGATCAGTGACCATGTTTCAGCCTTTTTCACAAACCTCCAGGCCACAAAACTAAGCTACCGGCCCATTTCTGAAACTTGGAATAGTGTGTTTTGCACATGTACAAATTGAAAGTTGATTAGAAGATTCCAGATGTTTGTAACTGACACATTTTTTCCTAACTGTGAATACATATGTTAATCTGAGATTACGTTCAGAGTTATGTGATATTAATTAGGCTTATTGTACAGCCAAGTGTTAATGAAATCAATATAACTTGAGAACACTTTTCCTTATACTTGAAGACCCTATTATACAAGTAGAAGGCAAATTCTCCTGTCTGTCATTGTTGGGCATGTCAAGTTAGTTTATGAAGGGGAAGGATATGAACAGCCCAGGGTGTGGCACCTGTGATAAAACTGGAGCACACCGACCCCTTCACCGGCCACTGCACACTGGACTTCCCAAAACCACTCTGGTGGATCTCCTGGGTTTAGTTCAAGGGGTAGGGTGGCCAACTTGGCTGGTTTTAGTGTTAGTGTTTTCTACCAGGAGAATCTCTCAAAGGACCTCAAGAAATAGAACAGAAGCAGGAAAAAAACAAAACAAAAAATAGGAGGAGAAAAATGGATATCCTCTTTCATTGTAAAATCTGTTCATACTTTTTTTTTAAAGTAGCCTTAAAATGTAAATATTATGACTCATATGATCCTATTCATCTTTTCTTAAAAGGTAGTAAATGGGAGTTTGCACAAGCAGCAATCTGGAGTCCTCTAATCAAACACTTTCCTTAATCAATTTATACATGGGCTACAAACATGAAATCTCACTTGATATTTTTGAGCTGGAGACAAATCTGGACACAAACTGCTTTACATTTCCGATGCCGTCTGTGTTGTGTCTGTATGGATGAGCAAATTTAGTATCCTATGACAAATCTAATCATTTTCATTATCCTGAAGATCAGTACTGATTGTGGTCAGGAAATTGCTTTTGGGTCCTTCTAGCTGAAAAGCGGATCCATGGGTTGTCCTACATGAGCAATTAGATTGAAAATCAAACTAGAGGGCTAGAGCTTTGTTTAGAACAAAAGGCTTCAGGGAATCTAGGCGTTTAAATAAGTTATTATTATGCTTCCTTCCCCCACTAAATCTTTCTGCTTTTCAATTTTAAACAACAGTGAGCCCCAGGCCATGTGCTACATTGAGACTTCCAATTTAGATGGTGAAACAAACCTGAAAATTAGGCAGGTAAGATCTAATTCGGGTTTATATGATGTTTGCTGATTCGTTACATGAAATCAGGAGCTTTATTTCTGTTACTGTCTTGAAGTAATTCTATCTAATTGCAAATGCCTTCTCAGTGAGCCACTATGAAGAGGTATCCTCAAGTATAATGGAAGACTCAGATTTATTTGCCTGATGAAATATGGTCCATCATCTAGATACTCTTCGTAATACTTTTAGTATTTTATGTAGTAGTAGCCAACAATCTGATAATAATAGTACTAATAGTTCTAAGTGCCTTGACATGGGTTCACCTATTTATTGCCCCTATTTCCCTGGGCCAAATTATGATTTGGCTTTGCCGTATTGAAAAGACAGAGTTTAAAAAAAACAAAAAACAAAAAAAATTAAAAAAAGAAAAAAGAAAAAGAAAAGACAGAGTTTGGATTGCTTATTCTTAAAAGCTCACTAATCTCAGGGAATAGTTTTAGATTTCTCTGTTTGCTTCACCTACCGTCCCTGACAGAAAGCAAAGATCATTTAAAGGGACTTCAAAAAAAATAAAAAAATAAAAAAATAAAGGGACTTCACAAAATGTACTCTCTTGCGTTCTAGGTAAATGATGGAAATGACACGTGGGAAGGTTGGATGTGGGGGAAGCAGGTCACCCTAGCACCCAGACTCCACGTGCCTGGGGAAGCAGTGGCCTGTCCACTTCCAGCTGGTCGAATCTATTTGGCCAGAGGGAAGAACTATTTTTGAGTTTTCCTTCTCTGTGGATTAGAAGAACAGAAGCATAATGACTCTTCTTTGGACGCAGATTCTATTTGTTTCGCATTCTCTTTTTTGAGATTCAGCAGACAGACTGTATAGTGCTAAATATTAATTCTATTTTTGGAAGCAAAAATAAAAGAAGACTTCAAAATAATCTTTGAAGACTTCAAAATATCTTTGCGGAAAAGTTTATAGTCTCAAATATGTGTTCAGACTTTCATAAAAGCTGCACTATGCTCAAGCAGAGAGGAAGGTATCCCCTTAAATATGATTTGGCAAAGAGTATTGTATAAGGGGGGAGCTTTGCTTATAAAATAGTGGGATCTCTTAGAGCTTCAGGCCTAGGTGAATTCAGAATCCCCCCTACCTCCCTCCTTCCCTCCCACACGCAATTCATTTAATATACTCTTTTGCGTATTTAAAAATTTCTAAACAGGGCTTACCAGCGACATCAGATATAAAAGACATTGACAGTTTGATGAGACTTTCTGGCAGAATTGAATGTGAAAGTCCAAACAGACATCTGTACGATTTTGTGGGAAACATCAGGCTTGATGGACACAGGTACGTAAAAGCGGTCTTCATAAAAACACAGTGTCCCGGTGTATTGGTTAAGTGTTTTCCAAGCCTGAGAACGTATTATTTTCTCATGCTCTAAGTGTGAATGCTCAAAACCTCTTTCTTAAGCAGCTCTATATTGCTTTCCACCAAGAGTCTTTTTGCAGAAACGTTAGTTCTCGACGCTACGCATGTGGTACAGCTGACAGCTTCCTCGGGATTCCTGACAAAGGGACAGTTAGATGTTTCCAGGGACATGCCAGGCTTCTGGCACATTGTGTAGTGGCTTATTCTTTGGCCAGAATACTTATGTTGTAGGCCTGTCTGCAATCTCCATGGCGCGGGTCCTTACCTGTGACCTATAGGTGCCTCAAGGAGTTTAAGCTCTACGCCCAAGGAGTTCATCGTACTTGTACAAGACAAATTTCTTGTCTTCTTCTCTGTATCATTTCATATACTCTTTTCTAGGCCATGTTATCATCTGTAGTTATTTTTGCCATTACCTGCTTCCTGCTCTTCTTCCCTTCCCACTTCTCTTTTCCTACCTTTTCCCTCTTTGATTCAACCAGTATTGAGCACCAAGTGGCCTAAGCTAGTTACAGGTGTTAAGGAGACTCCAATGAACAAAAGAGATAAATATACCTGCCCCGGTGAGCTTATTTTCTTGCAGTAAGAGAAAGGCAAACCGACAATAAAACGATAAATAAGAAAATTTTATACTGTTTGAAAATGATAAATGCTTTGGAAAAAGTAGCCCAGGAAAGGCAGACTGGGAGTCCTTGGGAGGGAATCACTTTGAGTTAGGATCCTTACAGTCTCATTCAGCAGGTAATAATTGAACAAGGTGAGTGGGAAGTGAGGACGTTAGCCATTTATATGTCTAGAGGGAGAGGATTCCAGACAGAAGGAATAGTTATTACAATTATTAGTTGTATTATTATTACATCATCTTAAAGTGGGGAAGAAGCACCTGGAGTAGTTACAGAATTTCAGGGAGGCCAGTATGGTTGGAGTGGAATCTCACCAAGACAGAGTAATAGAAGGAAGACCATGCAAGGCTTTGAAGGCCATTGTGTAGGGTCTTACTCTGAGTGGAATGGGGATCCTTTCAGGGGTTGGGGAGGGGGGGATACCAGCAGTTCAGTTTTGAACTTATAAATTTGTGTCAGGGAGCCAGGTAAATATATAAGCCTGGAGTTTGGGATAGAGGTCTGGATCATGAGATAAATTTGGGGATAGTTGACATAGATAATTAAAGCCATGGACGTGGAAGAAATCACTGAGGATAAAAGGGGATGGATAGAAAGGTGAGGAGTCCCAAGGACTGTCCTAGGACTGCAACATTAAGGCTGGGTAAAGAGGAGGGACCAGCAAAAGAAACCCAAACTGGGTTGGTCTGGAAGGAAGCTGAGATAGGGTAAAGAAACTCTACCAAGGTGGAGGAAGTGACTAAAGTGGGTCAGATGTTGCTGCTGGTCAAGTGCAATGAGGCTGAGAATGAACAGTTGGATTTAGCAAAGTAGAAATCCTTGAGCTTGGTTAGAACAGGTGGAGCCTGATGGAGTGGATCTGAGATAGGGGAAGGAGTTGAAAATACGGGGTGTAGACAGACTGTTCAGGGAGCTTTGTTGCAAAAGGGAGCAGAAATGGAGCAGAACCTGGCAGGAAGGGTGGGGTCTTTCCTATCTCCCTCTTCTTCCTCTTGTGCTCCCTTCCCTTCTCCCCTGCCTCACCCTAGAGGCCCGCTCAGTGCACTAGATCATCCCACCAGCCTGAGGGAGATGATCAGCGGTCTCATTGTTTTGTAATTGCATTACTCCAGTATTTGAAATCTAAAGGACATTTGAAAGAGACCCTAAACTGTCATCCTCCGTTCAGATCCACCGAAAGCTTTCCTGTAATTTGTGAAGTAATTCTATATTGTTCTAAAATTTGCACAGAGTGACCTCACAGAGTGAACATATGGTTGTAGACTAATAATAGAGTTGGCCATGTATATAAGTGATGTTTCTGTAGTCTGACATTCCTCACTGGCCAGCTTCCATCTCTTATTGGTTCCCCATCAAAATCAATGCCAAGCAAATCCATGCAAAGAGAAGCTTTGTATTATAGCGCCAAGATTTAGGGTACAGGGTACAGGTAGAATGTATATAATATGCTTTAAAATATACAAAAGGTGGAAACAGATACCTTTGTATTTGTAGCACATTTAACTTTTACAGTGATTACCCAGAGCTCTTGGAGCCCCTTGGTTTGGAATGAGCGGACTTTGATTCCGTTATTAAGGATGAGAGTCATTGTCTAATGCCAGAAGCTTTGGGATTCCGACTCTGATGATATCTAATAACTAACTCTTGTTGAGTCTTTGTAATTGAAAGGTGGTTTTTTGGTTTTTTGGTTTTGTTTTTTGTTTTTCGTTTTTTTGTTTTTCTTTTTCTTTTTTCTTTTTTTTTTTTTTGCTTTTGATGAGCCTGTATCCAATTCCAATCTATCCACACCACAAATGCTGAGATGACAGTTGTCCTACCCTGTTGTATATGTGAGGAACACTTGGCCCATGTGTACCCCAGAGCATAGTCTAGCAGCTTCCCAAGAATTTCTTGGAAATGTGTTTTAGGCCTCAGGTCCTCTCCCAGCTCTGAAGTGCGCCGCAAATCTTGAGGTATACACGAGAGGGGTTCCTCTCCAGAAGGGTCTGAAAGGCATCCCGTTGTGCAGAAAGAATAAGAATTATAGGATTATAGACACTGTGTTCTTTTTCTAAGTTGGCATACACCATTTCCATAGGGCTTAAGTGGAGGCCTTCAGGTGCTGTTATGACCCACACATCTGAATTGATTTCACCTGAGCCAGTTGACATTCGTGTACTTCCTGAAAGAAGATCCGAGGTCCAAGCCTCTGCTAGCTCTAGACACCTACCAGACCTAAACGCCCATCAGAAATGAAAGATTCAACCTCACCTTGCCTCTACGGCCAAAAAGTTCTGAAGACTTTTCTTAGGAGAACAGTTTCCTTCTTTTTACAGAAGTTTTTTTTTTTTTTTTTTAATATATTTTTCTTTATACTTGACATTTCTTTCTTGCTTTTTTTTTTTTTCCACTAAAGACATACTAATAGGAATCCTTGAGCCATTACCTTTTGTGTAGTACATTTCCGTAAAGAATCCCGCTATGTCTGTGATAACTTGTACCTTTCAGATGTCTCTGCATGAAGCTGTGTCAACCAACAGCCTACCGTAATGGTAGTTTTACCAAGAACCCACAAAAGACCCAACTTGGCCTTTATTCTTGAAAAAAATGTGGTTTAAAGGATTTGAGGATTATATGGAATAGATACTCCTCAATCTGCTGTAATTTCTGAGGAATGGTTAAGATTTGTTAGATGCTTACCATTTACTGGATACTTACATTTCTTGGAGAATTGATATCCAGATACAATAAATTCCCCTACAGATTTTAAATACAGGGACTTGTCTCTGTGGGGCAGGGATGGCAACAGGAATGTATGATGAGATCTGTGTATTTACCTTGCCTTGTCTATATTTTGAACCTTTATCATGCACCAAGCTATTTTTAATTAGCTGTGGGAGGGGGAGCATATCCCTTAATCTTACCACTTCCAAACATCTCAGAAACCTAAACAGACTAAATCAGGAAAAGTCTTAAATAGGTTTGACAATTAGCCTCTGAATTCCAAAACATTGCCTACTATCTTGGATAGTGAAGTTGTAAGAAATGGCTGATTTGGTGCTAAGGAGAAGCAACTGAAATGCTTCCTTCCAGCTGTCCTCGTGTTAGAAAATTCTTTAGTGGTAGGAAAATTTCTTCTTTTCTAAAAATAAAGTAAATGTGAGAAGGGCTATTTTAATAGCAGAACCTCCGTTGGAAACTATGTAGTAGCTATAGAATTCTTAAGCGTTTTAAAAAATGTTGTTTCTAATGTCAACATCATCTGTCATAGCACTGTCCCCCTGGGAGCAGATCAGATTCTTCTTCGAGGCGCCCAGTTGAGAAATACACAGTGGGTTCACGGAATAGTTGTCTACACTGGACATGACACCAAACTGATGCAGGTGGGATTTTTATCTATGAAAACCTTTTGGACCTATTCTCTTGGAAATGTGCTATTTGTAGCTCTCTGTGCAATAATCCCAAACATAGCAGACCATCTGTCACAGATTCCTGAGCCCCACTCTGTACATTCAGAATCTCGTTCTTCAGCGTGTGGGGCTATACAGTGGCTCATGCACGCGGGAATACTGGGGAGTTCATCAGAGATCAGCGGTGCATGAACTCTTCCTGATTTTATGTATCGGTCCTCCGGCAGCGTTTAGTAGCTGTTGAAGCGATTGGTACCAGCTGTCTACGTAATGATGAGTGCTCTGCATTAAAGTACTTGTCTTATAACTTTAATGCAGTGATCAAGTTTTACAACTGTTTTCCTTTTTTTTCATAAAATTAAGAATTTGTGAGTCAAGTGTTGACCCTTTTTTGGTATCCTTGTTATGTTAAGCTGTTTTCAATCAGCTTTGGTCTTAGCCCTTGTAATGTTTACGCGCCTGTGGATGCTTCTTCTCTCGGTTATAACATCATTGAGTGTTCAGTGGGTAGATGCACAGGCAAAGAACTATTTTAAGATACTACAGGAAAATCTGTTTCAAGGTCTGACAACTTTGTAAACTGTAAAGCCACAGAGACGTTATCAACAGGCAATCCTTTTAAGGATTCCATCCTAACCATGATGCTTCCACCCGTCACCGTTCTATAAATTTTGTAAACCATTATTTTATACCTGAGGAAACTTACTTCTGTTGTTCTTTATAGCCAAGACTACTTAGATTGTTGCTACGTTCGGTAGAACAGTCAGGGATGCCACCAGAAATCTGGAAACCAGACATCCTTTCACTGTGGCCTTCCTGCTTTGGAACATTCCGGTCTCTGGTTCTGGGCACATCGGCCACCATCTCTGGCTTTCTTCCTGAGCTGAGATGCTCAGTACCTCTAGTCTACCCTACTTGCTAAAATAGTGATGCACACTGTTCATCTGCCCTGCCATGATGCAGAAGTTATGTCTGGAAGAGAAATATTATTTCCTCCTCTTAGAAAAAGGCCTTGGTGGTATAGTGGCCTTTAGGGAAAAAAAGATGATTAACATTTGACAGCTTATTAAGTCTGTGGAATTTTTTTCTCTGTATAATTTTTAGGCATCTATCCATGTCTAAATAGATTTTGAGCTGTGACTTACTTTGTCATCTTCACCAAAATACCGAATATACATTACTAAAACCAATTTGTACACATTTTTTATTGCTCATCTTGTTTCTTTTTACAGAATTCAACAAGTCCACCACTTAAACTCTCAAATGTGGAACGGATTACAAATGTACAAATTTTGATTTTATTTTGTATCTTAATTGCCATGTCTCTCATCTGTTCTGTGGGCTCAGCCATTTGGAATCGGAGGCATTCTGGAAAGGACTGGTATCTCAACCTAAACTGTAAGTATTAAAGTGCCTGTTATATTTATTTTTTCTTTGGTTAAACCACATTTTTGTTTCACGGCTGATGGGATTTCCTATAATTCCTAAAAAGAAAACCTTGTTGCCAAGATAACTGGGCATTTAATTTTTATTTTTCAGTGCAATTTCCAGTAAAAGTAAACTGTTAGAGTCTCTAAAATTTCAGGATCCTTAAAAATACAATGATCACTCTATAGTAGTAGAAAATGTTTATTGATTTTATTTTTATGAATGTTATTCATTCTTTTTTATTGTTTTTTTTAATGTTATTCATTCTTTAAAAATATTTTAACACAGGTGGTTAGATAGCTACCTGGTAAAGAAAGCAGATTGATTACAGTAAAAGCACCAGAAGTAGAGCACATGCTTGTAAAATGTATAAATTGAATGTACTGTCATTTGAACTCACAAATGCAGTACATGTTAATGGTCATCTTGTCTTAGGGAAAGTCCTATTAAATAAGTCCTTTTTTGGATCATCTATCCTTTTATGATTATAAGATTAATGCACTGTCCCTGAATATTTCTGGAAAATAAGTCTGCACTGCCTTTTGATGAGTACTTAACCAGTAAATACTTAATTTCCAAAGGCATGAAAACAAATTCTAGTAAACCTTGTAGCAGGATTGATTTTTTTTTTTTCAGTTTTTATCACATCGATATAGTTTTGTGGCCATTCCAACTTTTTTTTTTTTTTTTTTTGGCATTGATTTACTAGTTCAACATTAGAACTGTTATGACCACCATCAATTTGCTTCTTCACATACTTTACAGCACGTCTGGGATAGCTGTTCTATTTTCATTATTGGAGAGGAAGGGTGTCATTGCCTGGGATACAGCCCTACCTTGTTTTTTGCTATTTGGGTTAGTTTTGCTGCTGCTGTTTTGTTTGCTTGCTTGTAAGGCATGCTTCAAATTGGAAGTGCTTTTTAAGAATTTAGGTAAAAGTGATTTTACCCAATTGAGATTTTACATGTGTAAACCCACAGTCCTGTCTCTGATAGCTCTAAACTTCCTGTTTCTAAACATAGTTTCTAAACTTCCTGTTTAGGATTTGAAATACTTGGTAGTACTTTCATTCTTTAGTACCATTATGAAGTTCTTAATAGGACCAGCAACATACTGAACACACACAAAAAGTGCTGTTCCATCTTGAATGTATTGAGAATAAGGTTATGCTCTCAGTACAGTGTTCCTCCCTATCTATCTGGATATGTTGTGTAATATGGAAAAGTTTTGTTACGCTGAAGTTCTGATCAATACAAATGGAATATGTAAGACTATAAATGACTTTCTTCCTACCTCTCCCAACAGATGGTGGTGCTAATAATTTTGGACTGAATTTCTTGACCTTCATCATCCTTTTCAACAATCTCATTCCTATCAGCTTGTTGGTTACATTAGAAGTGGTGAAATTTACCCAGGCATACTTTATAAATTGGGTAAATATAAATTATTATTGTTTTCATCATTCTAAATAAATGTTTTGTCTTTTTATCAGTAGGGTTTTTTGAAGACTTTTTTTTTTTTGAAGACTTTTTTTTTTTTAAGTAATCTCTACACCCAGCGTGGAGCTCGAACTCACGACCTCATGTTGAAGAGTTGCACACTCCACCATTTGAACCAGCCAGGCAACCCCCTGATCGGGTATTTTGATCTCTCAGAAACAAAATCTTAATGATACCTTATCTCTTATTGACTACAAGGCGACATTTCAAAATATTTTTGACTCTAATATAATTGTAACAAATTCATTGGACATGTAAAAATTATAGTAAAAACTCTTATCTCAGAATCATACAAGTTTACAGACCAGACATTCTGGGGAAGTAGGTCCCCAGTTAAGGAAACGTATTTTGGGTTACATAGTGGTCCTGGGGAAAAGGAGCACCATGGGGTTTGATGTAAAAATATCTGATTTATAGTTGTAGTTCTATATTTACTTGCTGTGTGAACTTTGCCAAGCCACCTGACTTCTTTGAAACTTATTTTCTTGGACCTTTACATAGAAATGATAAAACATGGTTTACCAGCATCTCATGATGGTAATATATAGCAAAGGAGCATCGCAAGCAGCCTCCTAAACAGTTGAGTACTGTACAAATAATACTGTACTCACTGCTTATAACAACCAAAGCTGTCGGTCATGTTTTATACACCTGTGTAGTTTATTTTTCCACACTGTAAACAAATTCAGCTGTGCTTGATTATTCTTAATTTTTTTTCTTCTCAGACTTTTTTTTAAGTCTTGGAAAAATGTGCTGGACATCTGTTTCATAAATATTTTGTTTATAAAATGTGTTGTTCTTAGTTTTATTTTACCAAAGCTAAAATTAATGAATTTATGTAAATTAAATAAACCTTCAGACTTACTCTGCCAAAAAATTTAATTTTCTTTTCTTTTGAGAAAATTTGGTATTCTTTTTTGATGCTATCTTTTAAAATTATTTTAAAGTCTTTCAAATGAACAATATTAGCATTTTAAAAAATATAACTGATGATCCTTTTGCCTTTGTTCATTATCTTCCCATGGTAAATGATCCACCTCATTGCCTAATTCATTGGTAGGTGACCAGTATAATTTAGAAATCTAAAATGAGCTGCAGATGTGGTTTATTTCATACAGGAAATATGTTGCTGAAAAGTTATGTAATAAAATTTGTGTAACTACAATTAAAACTTATCGAGGTTTCCCACTTTACAATAAGAAATGATAAGATGACTCATTATGAAAATCAAATAACTAGTCACTTTATTATTGTTTACTTGGATTTTCGATAATAATATTTGCTTCAAATAATGGCATAATTTTAGTGTCGGAGCAACCCAGCAGGCTTATGCTTTTCAACCACCTTTCTATTATACAGAGATTTTATAACATTCCTAACAGTTCTCCTCCTCCCAGGCAGCTTTTCTGTGTGTGGAAATGAGATTAATAACCACAACCCCCCTTTGATACTGGCTCTACCTGAACTTTTGTGAAAATGTCTATTGTTGTTTCTGGACAACAGCCTTGCAGAACATTAGAACTCAGCAGGGAACCTGGGTGGCTCAGTCGGTTAAGCATCTCACTCCTGGTTTCAGCTCAGGTCACGATCTCATGACCTCATGATCAGATGATCGAGCCCCTCATCAGGCTCCATGCTCTGTCCAGAGTCTGCTTGAGACTGTCTCCCCCCTCCCCCTTTTGCACATGTGCTCTCTTTCTCTCTCTCTACAAACAAATACATATTTAAAAACAAAACAAAACAAATCTAGGCTACTATGTTCTGTTCTTCTATCACATCTTCCCCGTCTCCTTCTGTTCCTTATTAGACTCGATTTCCAGCCTACTCCCCATTTCATTCATTCCTTTCTGAACATTGCTCAGTTGTTTAATATCCTTCTTAAAACATGACACCTATAAGTCAACAGCCTGCTTCAGAACTGATACTGATCAGTCTGAAATGCAAATGTGGGAAAGCAAATTCGTCCTTTTCCTTTGACATGTGAAAATCATTAAACCCTAACTTGCTAATCAAATGGTATATTATAGAAAATACTAATTCTTACAGGGTTAATAGCCAAGCCTCATAATATATGGGTACAAAACAAGTACAAATTAGTACAAAAGCTGTATATTTTTGTTTGGATTTTGACAAGTGCACGCATTTTGCTTTCGAGTATATACTGTAGAAGGAACTTGAGTCAAGAAAGTCTATACAACCAGATAGGATCTCTTGAGTAATTTTTCTAGGGGTTTAAAATCTTAGTTATTTGAGCAATGTTCAGTTGCTGTTATTTAGCTACATTAAGTACTTATACTATCTCGGACACCTTAGGAAGCGCTTCACATACATTGTCTTATTTCTTTTTTTTTAAAATTTTTTATTTATTTATGATAGTCAGAGAGGGAGAGAGAGAGAGAGAGAGAGGCAGAGACATAGGCAGAGGGAGAAGCAGGCTCCATGCACCGGGAGCCTGATGTGGGATTCGATCCCGGGTCTCCAGGATCGCGCCCTGGGCCAAAGGCAGGCGCCAAACCACTGCGCCACCCAGGGATCCCTTATTTCATCCTTACCATAGGTCGCATATCTAGAAAAGATAGAATTATAGAAAATCAAGATTGCCTGATTGCAGAGATATGCTCTAAGTTTCATACTGTCCTGCCATTACTGTGAAATATAATATTCTATACCAAGTACTTTTCAGGGAAATCAATTGAAATGGCATAGGGATGGCAATAAATGAGAGTGGTTGCATATACAGCTGACTAGCTAAATAAAATTTCAGTCAATCTCTTGTTACCAGTTGCATTTAGTAATTTCTTTTATTTTTTTTCCAAAAAAAAAAAATAGGATCTCGACATGCACTACGAACCCACAGACACTGCTGCTATGGCTCGAACATCTAATCTGAACGAGGAACTTGGCCAGGTAAACTGAATTTCTAGGTGATATGTTAAACTGGAGGTCAGATTTGTTGTAATTTCTGCCATATTTGCATATGAATTGCTAGCTCCTAATTTCCCATTACTTGAGCAATCAGCATAAATACATGATAGTACATAATTATCAATTTTAATTTTTAGTTAACCTATTTTGCTCTCAGAATAAGGTATTGTGCTAAGGGATTTCCCTCAGTATATAACCTGGTTAGTAATAAAGTACTGGCTATTTTTGAGTTATAAACTCTTAGCATTAAAATTGCTCACAGCTTTTGACCAGAAAGAAAAAGTTAAATTGATCAATGAGGCTGTGTAAGTCAATATATGAAAGTAATCAAACCAGAGTTTTAGATGTATAATTCATACTGTTTTCACACATATGTGTGTGTTACACACACGTGTGTATTTGTAATCCATATTTACATACTAGCTGAGGAGCAGTTCTTATTCTGTATTTTTGCCGTTTGCTAACTCATACTTTTCAAATAGCATTTTGGCCAGAATTATCCTTTTTCTTACCAATTCAGATGTATGGACAGAAACAATTACAAAAAAACAATTACAGAATTGGTGGTGGCTTGTGGCACAAGCCACCACCAATTCTGTAATTGTTTTTTTGAGAAATACTGGTAGATGTTTTAGGACACCACAAATGTTAAATAGCCGTAGTGTTACTTTCTAGTGGAAATTGAGACCATATCAAGGCATATTTCTGTATGGCTGCAGTTTCCCTAAGATCTTGATAGTGTTCGCTATTCATATTTGAAATGATTCATTGCTAAAACACTAAAAAAAAAAAAAGTTGAACATATTCCTTAATGAATGTGAAGAAATTCATCAGTTAATAGCATCTGTTGTGTCCATAACGTAACAAGATTGAAGAAAAGTAATTGTGCAAGGGGTATTTTCCCCCTTTGTGAGAGATTGGCATAAAAAGAATTCTGAAATTTTAATGGGAAATTTTAAACTTTTTTTTTAGGTAAAATACATATTTTCTGACAAAACCGGTACTCTGACCTGCAATGTAATGCAGTTTAAGAAGTGCACCATAGCTGGAGTTGCTTATGGGTAAGTTTTTTTCTCCTTTAATTAGAATATGACATGCACGTTTAATTAGTGCTAAAAGCTTGGTATGTTTTGAGAGTTCTTATAGGGGAAATTTTTAAACTATAAAAAGCCCCTGTTCTGACTTCAACATACATGTATGTTTTGTGTGTTACAGTTTGGAATTGGTTTTCATTGGGAATTACCTACAAGGTGGTAGTATTTCCATGTTTTAAGAGTTGCTAAAGGTCTCCAACTGCTCTGGTCATGAAGTACAAACACATGCCCCTCTACATTGCCATGAAGTTAGAGTACAGCGTCGTAATAACATGCAGAATGTCCTTGGGCACTTTTCAAGTTAAAATATCGTTTTTCTCTGATAGTTATCCCTTCAATTTGTTTTTTCTTATATTGTCTCACCTCTTTGCTGTCACAGAGCAATCTAAATTTCTGATGGTGGGAAGGAGGTAGGACATGAAACTCTTAAATCCAGTGTGTAATGGCTACCATCAGAAACTTTTATCACTGATTTCTACCTCTGAAACTAATAACACATGTTAATTGAATTAAAATTTTTTTAAAAGAGACTTTTATTAGGCTTCTAATGTCCTTTAGAATATGCTTGTTAAAAACCCATTTCTTTCTTTCTTTTTGAAATACTTCGGAGGGTAATGTGAGAAAATTAATCTGTACGTTTCCTAAAAGGACATGATCTCCTTGGTTAGACTGACCTTGACCATGACTTATTACCAAATTTTCCTACTGACTTTATCTAACAAGTGAGACTGGGAAATACTGATCTCTTAGCCATTCAAGTAAGGTCACTTGCATTTCGGTTTTGTGGCTTATACCCACTCTTCCCCACTCAACACTCTGTCTCCAAGCAGTAAGCTAGTATAAAAATAATGAATTTTGAAAATGCCTCAGTTAAAATTATAAATTATAAATAAATAACCATTCGGTCAAGAATTGTAAAAGCTCATATACAAAGGTCTACAAAGAGAAGTAGATGGGGGCAGATATCCTTATTCTTTGGGTTAGCAGAGAATGTGACTAAAAGGACTTCAAAGTGCCTGTGTAAATGAAGCTGAAAAGACATTTGATTGAATGGCTCTTTCACACTTGCAGAGACAGGATGTTAATTTAAGAAGCATACTTACTGTTTCCAGGGCTGGATGCCATTTTGCATCTTTCCTCTATCTGAAGCTCTCTCTCTTCCCCTAGAAAAGGCTGTCCTTACTCCTCCCTACCCACCAATTGTTTCTGGCCTTGTAATTTGGTTAGCTGCTTTTGTGGGGCAGATGCATCCACACCTTTTGACATCCTGCATATTTGACCCACAATGACCCCAGGCAAGAGAAGGAAAGGCCTATTATTACTTCCTGACAGATTTATGGAGGTTGTTTTTACAAAAATTCTGCTTTTATAAGTGAATTTACTTTTGGAGTGGTCTGATAATTGACATCCTTTTTTTTTTTTATCTTGCAAATTTCTAACTGAATAAGCAAGTTCTTCAAATTAGTAGTTACTGATGGTGAACTCACCAGAACAGAAAACTAGAATGAGATCTAGTCTCTCTCCTGCATTTTATCAAGTTTTTTTCTTATTCTTGCAACAAGTCTTTAAACACTTCGAGGCAGTAGTTCTAAAGAGCAGTGTTCTTTCTGGGTCTATTGCTATCATCATCAGATAGGGTGAGTCTGAGACTGGTAAATATTAAAGTAGTATTAAGAGTTAAGAAGAGTCATCATTTAGATTAGGTTTCCATTAAGACAAATTTCCTCTTGGGCAAATAACATAATTTCTATTGAGGTGCAGCCATGAGACTAGTCCTAGCTTTGTCACTAATTCACCATGTAACTATCAATAATTCCTTTCAAATATTCCAAACTCCTTAAAATGAGGATAGTGAGATAAGATGATCTCTGAAGTTCTTTTCCAGATATAAAATTCTGGATATAAAAAAACATAATAATGTGTTTTATTAGAAATAAAAGGAAAGGTGTTCCTTTGTTTGCAAATTTAACTATGTAAACAGAAATACATCCCTTTCCCCGGTGATATGTCATGTTTTTGAGAATACCAGAAGCCTTGCTGAGTGAAGCTGGTTGTTAAACTGCTTCCAGTAATCGTGCAGTGTTGTGTTTGTGCGTTTACGATCCTTAATCCTGATTTTTCATCAACATCCCCTCCCCCAGACATCCTGATGGACAACTGGAGTTGTCAGCATTGTAGACAGTGGTGATAAATGTCTTTGATAAAGGAAACTTCAGATGCTTAGGTCTTTACAGTAAAAGACACACCACTGTCCCTAATTCCACCAAACTCAGCAAGAAAAGTCATTACTGCCAGCCATCTTTCTGTGGAATTTCCTGGGGCCACTTTTGGGTTATCGGAACCCAGGCCTGGAAATTACATGGTTTTGCAATCCATTTGCATTATAGCAGCGTTAACACTTGATTAATATGGGCAACTATGACATATCCGTACCTTTTAACTCCAGCAGAAGAAAGCATGGTGTTTATCCCCCCAGGACGTAGCAAAACAAAGGAGAGCACCACACATCATCATATACTAACAAATGCTTTTGGGGTTACAACTTCAGAACTGATCCTTCTTCAGCATTTTTAAGAAGTAACAAAAAGCCTGGTTTTATGCTAGGTAGAGTCAGGGCTGAAATCTGTTGGCTCTTATGAGTTTGAAGAACAAGACTTGTCTTCATTTTTGCCTTGTATTTTCTTAGATTTGTAAGACACTACTATTTATTTATTTATTTATTTATTTATTTATTTATTTATTTAATTTATTTATGAGAGACACAGAGAGAGAGGCAGAGACACAGGCAGAGGGAGAAGCAGGCTCCATGCAGGGAGCCCGACGCGGGACTTGATCCCAGGACCCCGGGGTCATGCCCTGGGCCAAAGGCAGATGCTCAACCACTGAGCCCCCCAGGAATCCCCAAGACGCTAATATTTAACACTTAAAACAATGCTTCCAAATTTGATGTTGGCAATTTTTGTCTCATTTCACATAACCACGGCCAAATTGGATTCATGATGGGCAACACAATAAAGTTTTGTCCGTCACTTCGTAGTGATGATTATTTTGTCAAGTTCAACCTTATCCATGAGGCCACTATGTTTAAACTTACTAGATTGTTTCATTATATCTTTCTTTGATTAAGTGTAAATTGATGTCATTTGTAAATTTAACTTATTAGACACTAGAAATTCTACTGTTAAACATTTGTTAAAGTATCATTTCAGCAAATTCCTTCCTATAGGAAATGGGTCGGTTTTATCAAAGTAACTGGAATACCAGGAAGGGGTAAGGAGGCAAAATTTTATGTTTCAGTGGCTAGGACTCTCAAAACAGTGAATATAAGAGGCTCTTATCCTAAGTATAATCTTTGTCAGTAATTTAGACCTTACTATTAGAATGAGCTGATCAGCTGGGCAAAGCTTAACACAGTACAAAGCTCTAAAGTTAAAAAAAAAAAAATTCTAGTAAGCCAACTAAATAGTGATTTTTATTGGGCTAGTCGTTTAATCAAAGCCAAAAACATTTCATTGACATGTTCCCTTTGAGTAAAAAAAATGAAATTTCCTTAAAAACAATCCTTATGTATATAAAATACAATACGCGAATGGCTTAACACGACAATATTTTGTTTACCAGTATGTTTGCTAAAAGGATCTGTGCTTCACACTGAGAAGAGATTCACCACAAGAAACCTCACAATCAAAAAAGAAAAAGAAAAGAAAAGAAAAGAAAAGAAAGAAAGAAAGAAAGAAAGAAAGAAAGAAAGAAAGAAAGAAAGAAAGAAAGAAAGAAAGAAACCTCACAATCACAGGGCTAATAAAACTTAGCCCTGAGGCCTAGATGCTAACCAACACATTTATCTTACTGCCCACCTGGGCAAGAGCTGGGGAGACACCTCCCGTTTGTTTATTTACATACTCCCACAAATAATTTTATCTCCTTCTGTACGTGGCACCTTGTTAGATGATGGGGTTGTAATAACCGGCGAAAGCTCCTATGGCTCCTGCCCTCCTGAAGTTGGTGGTTGATTGGAGGTAAATGGGTGTTAATAAGTAATCAAGGCTAACAGGCTGCACGGAGGGGGAGGGCCCGGTGAGTGTGTGATGGGGATGCAAGCCCATCAGGCAGGCCGGAGACCCCGCCAGGAGAAGCAGAGGCTTGGGCGCTAGAAGAAGGGGTTTGATTAAGTGAAGAGCTCCACGGGCAGAGACCGGGGTCCCGACACGCTCACCAACGCCAGCGACCCCCAGCACCTGCACCAGAGCTGCTGGAGCCGCGCTGGCGGGGAAAGGTGCACACAGGTTCAGGAGCAGGTGCGCGGGGCCCCTGCGGCTCCCCGGGTGCAAACAGCACCCAGCCCTGCCAGGCCCAGGAGAAGGGCCCCCGAGCCCTGTGGGACTGCCTGCACAGCCAGAACCCTGGCACCGTGGTCCCCGGCCGGCCCGACCGAACAGCGTGATGCCCCACGCGCGGGCCTGCAGCCGGGGCCTGGAAGCCGCCGAGGGCGGTGTCTTTGTCTGGGAGCCCAGCCCACGGGAGACTCGGCTCGCCTCCCCCTGGAGCATCAACAAGCCACCTGGTAGAAGGGAGACTAGTGGGTAGAGGGCACCGCCGTCAGTGTGGCTGGACGTGGTGGGCGCTGCCCGGGAGGCCACTCGGTGCGTTGGAGGAGGTGGCGCGGTGAGGCCTCGCCAGGCCAGTTGCTGGAGGGTGAAGACAGTGTGTGGACGGTGGCGGCTGGAGGGACTCGACGAGTTTTCAGGGAGGGTTATGTTTCTCAGAAGCAATGAATGACTTTATATTTGTACTGAACTCTGCATTTTTTTTTTAGACTCTATTGGTAGCTACTAAATTTAAAAGAAAAAATATTGGGATGCCGGATGCCTGGGCGGCTCAGTAGGTGAAGCACCTGCCCCCGGCTCAGGCCATGATCCCGGCTCCTGGGATGAAGGGGGGCGGTCAGGCTCGCTGCGGCTGCTGCT